GTTGACTTCTGCAACCAGGGCGTGGCACCATGAGTCCTTTTATCTCCAGAAGACCACACTAACGAGACCCAGCTGCATTGTTATTCCTGCATCCCGACTCAACTCACAGCAAACTTCTGCTGAGTCACAACACTGTCACATGACACTGGGTGTCACCTCAGTAAATGTATGCCTTTGTTGTGCAACAAACATCAATATGGGGTTTGTTCCAACCACCTGCTGTCCAAAGCTTTGTGACAAACCCTGTAAGGTGCAACACCTCTTTTCTCATGTAGGAACCTGTTTCAGGCTGGTGATTTTCACTATTGTAGATCTACTCAAACAGGACTTTTTAAAAGTTAGATTACATATTTATCAAAGGCTGAATAACTACTATGTGCATGAAGTAGGAATATGCCTAACAGCTGGCATAATCTTTGAAAGCATCTGTTTGTTCTGTTGGATATTTGACAAATGACTACCTGGTCCTCTAAATTCTGTTAAATAAGCTTCAAGAATATAGTGTTTCTTTCCATAACTAAAAAAAAAGATGTGGAAAGCAGACAGCATGGAAAAGTTTCATACATTAGTGTTATATTAATTAATTATATTAAACTAAATATTAGCATTATTATCACAACTTCTTTATCCAAAATGTATATTCTTTTCCTCTTTTCCATTATATGAAATAATCAGTGCTGAAAAATAGTAAGTGGCCCGGTATCATCTAGGGATTGGAATCATGATCTTTACAGATGTGTAAGACATGAAGAGGTTGTACTATGTTGGTTTTATTAGTCTTATTAGGAGAAGTGGCCACAATCGAGAATAGCCAGTTCTGTGTTCTCAACATCTTTTTGCTGCAAGGATAACAATATGGTACCTGCTGTATAGTAGGTTTTCATTTGATTCCCAAGCATAATAGGACTCTTAACACCATTTGTACAAGAGGTGTGGCAGTCAGTACTACAGTCCCAGGAATGGAAAGGATTGATAGTGCATATTAATTGTATTTATATCATATAATTACAGTTGGGCTGAACAACAATGGCTGTGGATATCAGTGAACAACATCAGAAAAGGAACAAGAGCTATAGAATGGTTGTGTTTAGGAATACACAATAGCAATAGCACTTAGACTTATATACCATTTCATAGTGATTTGCAGACTTCTTTCTAAGCAGTTTAGAGAGTCAGAATGTTTCCCCCAAATAATCTGGGTCCTCATTTTACCAATCTCGAAAGATTGGAATACTGAGTCAACCTTGAGCTGGTCAGAATTGAACTCCTGGCATTGAGCAGAGTTAGCCGCAATACTGTATTCTAACCACTGCACCACCACAGCTCTTACCTTACATTTGTATAATTTCAGAGAATATGTGTAATAAATTTTACTATTTTGGGAACAAGTGGGGCAGTTCTTTCTTCCACTAATGTATAATCAACTTCTTTTTTTTTTACAAAAAGCATATTAACAGTTTAATTTAATTCACGTCCCCTCATATTTCATTTAGAAAGGTGTGCATTGATTTGCAACTTGAAATGAAAAGTTACAAAATAATGTATAATTTGCCTAATTATTATAAATGGTGCTATAAATTCAAGAAGCAGGAGAATGGTGCTGATCTGGATTTTCAAAAAAAAAATAGTTTTCATTGTACCACAATTCACTTAGGCACTGTTCTGTCTTTCAAGAATGGACAGTCCAACTTTAAGTCCAACTTTAAATGCATTCAAATGCTTTTGGAAATCATAAAAAAAAACAAATGTTTTGATTTTTCATCAACAGTCTATCAACACTTCTGAATACAGAGTTGAAAACAGGAGTGATGTATCTTGGGTGGACAACCTTTCTCCATTAAGAAAAAGAATGGTGTAAGTTCAAGGCAGCTTCCTCTCCCATCTTATTCCCTCTCTTGCATTCTGTGATCGCTGTTAGACAAAGAGTTGGTAAGCTAAACATTTGGTTGCAGTCAAGAACTTTTGCTGTTTCCTCATAAATAATAATTCCTGAAAATCAGTAGCTGTTCACCCACAGTGTTGTTTTCATGTGCAATTAATGTTGTAACTAAGTCAATGTAAAATATTTCTGTGTTTCTTTCCCTTCCAGAGGCTGCTTTCTGGCTATGATAGCTGGGATATTCTACGGCTCTAGTTTTGTACCTGTGTTTTACATCAAGGACCATGGCAGAAGAAATGGGACTATGTATACAGGAGCCAGTCAATTTGGTAAAAGCAGATGACTTCTGAAAATCATATATCCTAGAAGAGAACTGTGGCCATTTATGGTATATGGAAGGGAGGGAAATTGTTTACATCAGGGGTGGGTTGCTAATCCCGTTCCAACCGGTTCGGTTGGAACGGGGCCAGCGGCGTGTAGTTCACACATGCGTCTTAGCGCCTGCGCGATGCTCCAGCTGCTTGCGGAGACTTGCGCAAGCGCTGTATGTGCCATCCAGCTGCTCACGGAGAATCGCGCAGGCGCTGTATGTGCCATC